CCCCTTTCTTTTTTTTTCTTCCTCTCCTCTTTTCCACACTCACTCAATCCAGACTCTAATTTCTATAATTAGCATTTGACACAATTCCCACTTTAAACAGTGTTATGAGAAGTGAGAAGTGCAATGAAGAGAAGGGCGTTTCATATTTGGAAATTGTTGTGTGCTATATTGATTTATCTAATGTGCGCGTGGGTGTGTACAGTGTATAATATCTGATTCTAGACTTGATCTGCACAGGACAGTGATACTGGTAAGGTATCAATTAACATTTTGTTATCCCAAGGGTTTCTTAAATTGCACATGGTCAGTTCATGTCGAGTTGTCTGGGTGTGTGTAAAGTAAGCCTTTGAGTCAACCACAGGTGGGGAGGGGGGGGGAGAGAGAGAGAGAGAGAGAGAGAGAGAGAGAGAGAGAGAGGAGGGGGGGGGGGGGAAAGAAAGAATACAACGGTTAAGGACAAAATGTACACCTTTGACATCTATTCACATTTTTAGCTACATTAAATGTAAAAACTTCACCTATATAATATAAGCGTGATGTATCTATTTCCTTATCACTTTGTCGCCTCATCTCGCTGATTGTTTACCACCCAGTTTCTTTGGATTTTCCCCAAAATATGACGGCAAAGTGTTAAGACTTGAATCCAAGAAGTAACTCATTTTGTCAGCACGTTTCACAAATGTAAAGTCCATAAAAGTACTTGTCAGAGGGACAAAAGTCACACTCAAGTGCGCTCATTCAGCATCAAGTTTAACAGTATATTGATTAAAAGGGAAAAAAAAATATTACAAGAAATGTTGTGAGTGAATCTGCTCTGGAAACGCAAATTGTAAGATCACGCAGCGGCAGATATGTACATAAAAAAACAAAGAAAGAAAGATCATATAAAAGAAGTTTTTTACCACCTAGCATTTATAGGCTTTTGCCAGAAAGAGCATAGATGTGTGTTGCTCTTAGGGAATGTACCTATATATAACTCCAAAGGTCTTGTAATTAAATTCCTGCATGTGTTTGAATGATGCATCTGATGTGAACGTACATTTTGTCAGCTTTAACTTCTCTTTTCATATTGAATTTTAATGAGAGTAATATAAAATTAAAATTTTATAAGTATACCTGCATGTGTTTTTACGACCCTTTACAGCCAAGAAAAATTTCCCCCTGGGATAATAAAGTATTACCTTATCTTATCTTAAACCTGTTAGAAAAAGAAGAGAAAATTTTCCTCCTGTTTCTTGAACTCAAAGAGCTCCGTAAGGGCTGTCCCGAACTGTATGGACTATAGTGATTATAAATGCCATCAACATCATCCCTAACACATCTATAAATAATTAACTAACTACAAACATTACTTTGCTGATATGTAATTTGTACACAGAACAAACACACATAGATAGATTGGCGACATTACTTTTTCCTCCTCTCTCCACATCCTCCCTGTCTCCCAGCATGGTAACGCTGAAACATTTGTACGTTGCCTGAAACGTGCGTCCTGCTGGAAAGTCAGGGAAGGCATTTCCAAAACTGAACTGTGAAAAAAAAAAAAAAATCAGAACAAAACATGTTATAAAAACATCAATAAGTTTGGAAGATAGAGACCTCCATTCTTCTATACTAGCTCTAATATATCATCATATCATAAAGGGAGTTACATAGTGATTTGTGTTTTATCTATTCGGACTCCGGTCCGTAAAAAATGTTTTATCAATTCGGACTCGGCTTTTAAGTGAGTTATAATGTGAGTGTAAGGAAATTACATAATATAACCGTCGTCAGGGGATTTTATGTAAAACCAGAATTAGAACTAGAATTACCAACTAGGACGGTGTAATTGTGTCAAAAGTCAAAAGACTGCACTCTCATTGCCCAATGGCAGAGTCTAAATACACGGTAACAGACAACTCAGGGTATTTCCACCACCACTACAGCATCATCATAATTACTTCCACCACCATTTGTATTTCCACATTTAATTTAATTTTGTTGTGAGTTGTTTTTCTGTAAATATTTTTTATAATCACATCGCACAAAATCTACAGCCGTGGCCTCTTCCCCCAGCAAGGCGAGAGTGTGATATCGCTACGCACAATCTCATTGGTCGACATAGTTAACTTTGCCCCCGGCAAGGTCAACTCAATTTGGTTGTTCTGTTCATACCGAGACGAGCTCGGTTCATACTAATGGTGCAGGGAGGGCCAATTTAGATAGATCTAATAACTGGATATTAATATTAAAGCTCATGTCTCGATTGTTATAATTAGATCTATCATTGAACAATTTTTCATAAATGCTGGAAATATGTAGGAACAAGGGATGGAAGTTGGAACGGAGGTCATGCTGGACCCAATCCAGAGTCCAAAAATAATTTTGGTCTAGAATCTAATCGGACTCGAGTCCGAATAGTCACTTCGTTTAATCAATTACTATTGTGTAGACCTAAACTTCCTTGTGACACAACTAGAGAATCTACTACGTCATAATTTACAGATAAATAAGGTCTACACACTAGATACTATAGTAATCTAGATCTAGTAATGCAGAGTTAGTTATCCGGACTTCTATGATTTTTGGTTTCCGAGCCTTACTCAAGTTAAAAATAGTCTTTAGGAAAGACTCTACACTTAATAATAGGTAGATCTAGGCCTAAGTCGTGCTCTTTAAGGTACCTTATTTTAATTTTAACACTTTGCCCCCACAAGACGCCGATCGGCGATGGCAAGAAGCCGTCCCTTTTCCCCACCAGCGCCGGTGATATAGCGTGTACTGCACTTGTATCCTGGTCTGTTGAGATTTAGTGTTGCGTGCTCGAGCGTGCTGCGTGGGTGGAAAGTGTTATAAGATATCTTTGTAAAAGATAACGAAGTGAGTCCGAATAGAGAAAAATTATATTCGCACTCTGAATTGAGTCCAGCATGACGTCCGTTCCGACTTCCGACCCTTGTTCCTGAATATTTCCAGCATTTACGAACTTTTAAAAAATATTATAAATAACAGTCGAGACGTGAGCTTTACTGTCTAGATCTAGATCTTTCTAAACTGGTCCTCCCTGCATCATTAGTAAGAACAGAACGAGTAAGTTGAGTTGACCTTGCCGGGGGCAAAGTTAATTATGTCGCGTAGCGATCACGCACTCTCGGCTTGCTGGGGCAAGAGATGTTGGGAAGAGGCCATGGCTGTCGGTTTTGTGCGATGTGATAAAATTTTTTTTTTAGGAAAAACTATAACACAACAAAATAAAATTAAACATGTTGTGGAAAGACAAATGGTGGTGGAAGTAATGATGATGCTGTGGTGGTGGTGGAAAGACCCTGAGTTGTCGGTTACCGAGTACTTAGACACTGCCGTGCTAATGAGAGTGCAGTCTTTTGACTCTTGACACAATAACAGTCCTAGATCTAGAAGGCAATTCTAGTTCTAATTCTGATTTTACGTAAAATCCCCCCGATGACATTTATATTTATAATGTAACCTCCTTACACTCACATAACTCACTTAAAAGCTGAGTCTGAACAAATAAACCTTTTTTTCAGACACGAGTCCGAATATATTAAACCCATATTCGGACTCGAGTCCGAATAGAGCTGGCCAAAAGAAATAATAGCATTTGTATAGTGAATATCCCCGCTCAACAGCAGGCTCTATGCGCTTTACCCTATTTTATTACCCCAGCAGACCATAGAACACTCCGAAACATTCTCAGCTTCCCGGGAAGCATACAGTGCAAGCAGCTGTAAGCACTCAAACACTAACAAACTGACAAGATCTTTCGCTGTCTATAGCCGGGTACCCATTCCCACCTGGGTGAAGTGAGGAAAATTCGTGTAAAGTGCCTTTCCCAATGACGCAACGTCGGGTCCCTGACGGGATTCGAACCCAAGACCTTACGGTTGGGAGTCCGACAGCCTAACCACTAGGCCACAGACGCCACTAATCCATCTAGATCTAGATCTATACGACATCATTTCAGGCCTACTTTTAAATAGAGAGGCCCCCAACTCTTAACTAGATCTAAATCTAAAAATAAAATAAAAATCCCACACACCACAGCCACGGGCCACACACACACAGGCCGACAAAGTGATGACTTGAACTAGATTTTTTCAAGATCTAGATCTAGATCTAGATCTAATCTAGATATATAAATCTATATCTTATCTATAATCTAGATCTAGATGACTGACTGCTGACTAGAATCTTCTACTTCTAGATTTCTAGATCTAGATCTATGTAGATTAGATCTATTATGAATCGATGCAAAAGAGCAGAAAAAAACTCACCATGATCCTTGCTCTCAACTGTTCTGCCTCCAATCAATTGTCTTTATCAACACGCTTGACGTCTTATTCAGGATCCTTCTCTTTCAGTTTCAACTCGCAACTTGAGTGTTTACAAACGAACCTCTGTGATGATTCAGCAGTGTTCCCAGATCTATCCCGATTGCCATTTATTTACGGTTCAAATATCTTTAAAAAGCACGCTAAAACTTTAAACAAAACCACCCGGATCTAATTGAATGGCGAAGTAAAATGGACTCGATTTACTGTAGGAAAAGAAGATCAAAATTGGTAAGACAGAATGTAACAAACGCATGTGAATTAGAGAAATGTTTTAATTTTAAAAAATAAGTGTAACAATAACATAATTAGTAGTTTGGCTGTCATTCTCTCAACTTGCTCTAAAAAAAAAGTGTGTTCCAATCTGGACAAACAAATCCGGAAGCCCTCAGCTATTTAAAAATAGATCTATAATCATGTAGGCCTATACAAAACAAAATCATGTCTTCTTTGGTAGACAACAGAGCCTTGTACAAGTCCCTATTTTTTATTTCCCTAGGAAACCTTATTTATGCATACACACGCTCCCCCAACCATTCATGCCTTCTAGGAAATATATAGTTGCATAAACATTCTTACTCTTATTGTTTTACTTTCTCTTTCATGGTCCCATGCCCATTATTTTGTACTGAAGAATACTGAAGGTTTCCTTATAAAAAACCCCCCACAATAACAACATTGAAACCCATCTTGAAAAATGAAATTAAAAAACAAACAAAATACAATCAAAACAACCCCCATAAATACAAGAGTTACATACAAAGACAAAATGCAGAGCCACAATGGAATTAGGTCTATAGTTTGTTTCGCCGCCTCGAAAGCGATTCGTTATTTTTCGCTTGTGGGAGTTACGGGTACTTGGTTTGTAATAACATTGAGTAGTTTTTTAGTTCGTCTGTTTTTTTCTTTTATTTCTCATAGATCTGTTGGTTAAGTTCTCATAAGGCAATATTTTGCTTTTTTATGAGTACACAATAACTAATAGATCTAAATTGCCCATAATATTATAGAATAAAAAGTATTGCCACTGCAACGCGATAGGTGAAATTTTGTTTCGTTAATGACTTATGACTGTTTTCGATGAACTCTGAGATAAGATGATTATCGACAATCTTCTCATATCCAGGAAAATAAGTTAGTGTTCTTTTTTCACTTTGAGCCGTTAAAATCATGTGAGTATGATGGCTTTTCTCTCTTATTTAGCCGTTTATGTATTGGTCACTGTATTTATTCTCCTTTGGCTCCCAACCGGATCCCTTAGTTCTGTTTCGAAATCAAGATTCCAGTATTTCCAGCTCTCTGTATTATATCCTGGAGCCAGAAGTCAGAGAGACGCACTCTGCCTGAGTGATGACTTGTTGTCCACCTCTCCTCATTCTCTATCATCACTGATCAGGGTCTTGTTTTGTTTTGACCCTATTTTGAAAAAAAACCCCCGACCTGTTTATGAAGCTCTCATATTTTGTTATAGTTATAGTGAGTATCCATACCGTCGTCTCAGTTCCTCTTTTATTTTTGATATTCTCGACTTACTTGTTGAGTTAAGTACTGTACTAACTGTAGACTGACTGATGTTGTAAGTAAGTTGTTACTGTTGTAGGCCTGGATTCTCTACTGTTGTGTTCAAATTCAGCCTTTGATCTCATTGTGACCAATTGTAGTAATAAGTAATGTTATTATTAATTATGTAGTCATGTCCAGGCTGAAATTTTATCAGTAAGGTAGGCCTAATAGGCCTTTTTTTAATTGTAATATAAGAAGCGATTAAATAATGTTGCAGTTTGATCTCACATAAAAGGCCACCTGTCTATTCTCACCCGGGGACCGGGGTGAGAATAGCTCGTTGTTAGGGCTCTCACCTGGGGTGAGAGAACGAGCCTTTTGGCTTTTCTCACCCGGTGTGCGTTCATTATCCATTATGATACGTAGAAGGCCTACAGTGTAAACAAATGTTCCAGCGCTCTTGTGTTGAAAGCGTGCAATTTTGTCTGCCGGCAGTGGGAGAGAAAGAAGGTGGGGGGGAGAAAAAGATAGGGTAAATTTTTACTTTCACTCCCGCACACAGTGGCACTGTTTCAGGGGTCAAACTGCTGTACTGTTTGCTGCAGATCACACATATATAAAGCCACTAAAACTGTCGCAAATCAATTATTTTCAAGACAATTTCAAATCTAACTGTAAAATATCAAATTATGGGTGTAAAAACAAGGGGGCATGCCCCCCTGTAACCCCCCAAATTTTCTTTTACCCCAGTGGGGCAGGCCCCCTGGAACCCCCCGATTGGTCCAAAGCATGTCTATCTCGGTTAAAAACAATCAAATATTTCAAAAACTATTAATTTGCGACGGAAATGAAGTTGATATTCGTGTTCAGTGCATCAATATTTAGTAGAAAATAGACAACTGGTAGCTGAGTGTGAGACGGGAGGGAAAGTAAAAAAATACCAAAGATAGGGAGAGAGAAGGAGAAGGCTAGCGAGAACTTGCGGGCAAAACAAAATGGCGACCGGCGCAGTTTGGCTCGATTCGAAAAGTAAAATAGCCGTAGATCTTTGTAGATGACCAAATTAGTTTACTTTTTCGGCTATTATAACATTATTAATTTTTTTTTTTCCATTTTTATCATCCACACCGATAGTGAGAATAGTCACTTCCATAACAAACAAAATTATAAATCGGACCATTTGTCCAGGAGCTGTGTACTGTGTGTGTATTGTGATTTGAGTTTGCTAATTTTGCTTCAGGAGGAATTCCGTATCGAGCAACCAGTAATTGACAGTATGAAATACAGTAGAATAGAGGCAAAGGGTTAGAGGGTTTTTGGTAGGGGTTGGATCAGGGTTTGGGCCTGGGTTAGATCTCTTCTTTGAACTATAAAATTCAAATTTGATGTTTGTTGGGGGGGTCATTCGTCGATCCAGTTGTTGTTGTTGTTGTTGTTATCGATCCCGAGGTCATTCGTCATAGAAGTCCTTCCTTTGGTTCCCAAATGTCATGACAGTAATGAGACTAAAGTATAGAGGGAATATTTAGGCAAACAATGACACAAATGGTCGGTTAGTCATAGTACTCATAGCGTGTTTAATAATCTTTTATATAAATAGCATTTGTATAGAGGGCATGATATTATTGATATCCCTGCTCGACAGCAAGCTGTCTATAGATGCGCTTTACAGTAGAGCCAAGCTGGGATCTGATCTCATTCAAGTTGGTGGTTGGTGGGTGCTCTGGTGTGGTTTGCTTTTCTTTCCTCCTCCTCCTATCAAACATCTATTGTCTTGATTTCCCCTCCTTTTTTGTGTTTGTTACTACTCTCTTGTAACACCTCTAATCTTCAGCACTTATATGACCCTATTGTGTTGCAAGTTCCGTAAAACACTTACTAGAACTAAAACGATCTCATTCATAAGCAAAAAAATAAATTTCTTTGTTGACTATCTTATTGTTGTCCTGTAGGTTGCTTCATCATGATTGAGAAATAGCAGGGAGTAGCGGCCATGACAGAGACAGATCAGCTGAGCAGGATGCGGGGCGTGAACCAGGCAGAGGAGTCTCCGGGGAGACCGCCTGGGCGCCCCATGCGGCAGCTGGAATTCCATCAGGTGAGATGTTGTTCGTTGTACAGGTAAATTGTCTTTCTTTCTCTGGCATCTCTATGATGTGTCACGACGCAGTGGAATCAGGCGCTCGTCAATTTTTGGGCATGTAGACTTTTATTGGTATCATCTTAAAGCTCGTTTACTTGTATTTAATTTGGATGACAAAACTATCCATATCTTAAATGTTCAAGTCGAGATATTTCAAATGAAGGAGATGGGTGGGTAGTTGGCGGATGCTCTGATGTGGTTTGCTTCTTCTTTCCTATGAAACATCTATCGTCCTTATCTCCCCTTCTTCTTTTTTATGTTTGTTACCCTCTGGTAACACCTCTAATCTTCTGGCGCTCATTTGACCTTATGCAGTTGCGAGTGCCGTAAAACCTCTACTAAAACTAACTAATCTTTGTCCTGTTTTTGTGACAGGCAATGTCAGATTTTCGACACATGTTCCCGGAAACGGACGAGGAAGTGATAGAAGCCGTTCTGAGGACCAACAACGGGATGGTGGACGCGACGATCGACCAGCTCCTGACCATGAACATTGACACGGAAGGTAACGAGGAGGACGAGGAAGACGACGACCTGCCCGATCACGTTTTGATGTCGGTTGAGCGAGATGTGCAGCTGCAGCAACAGCAACAGATGACCCAGTCGACCTCCAGACGGCTGAGCAGAGAAGCCCGGGCAACAAGGGTAGGTTGTTTGGTTGCTGGGGGGGGGGGGGGTTCGGTTAACTCTTTGTCTCCAGCAAGCTGCTCCCAGCTGCTCGCGGTTGGAACCCCTGTGCCGGTGAGCCGCTGACAGCAACTCGGGCTCATTCCTTTACAACGACTTCAACATCAAATTACTTTTCGGCAATTGCCGAAAACAGGTCTCTTTTACGTTAAGTTCATTCATTAGATGAAGAACTATCAAAATAAGTTTGCTAGTTTTGATTTAATGACCCATTTAATGACGTTTTTGTCACTTTTAGACTTGGCAGAAGTTTGCTTAAATTTTTAAAAAGTGGATCATAGATCTGGCAGTCTTGTTTGGATTATCATAATGTGTGTTGAAATCTCCAGAGACACTTAATGCTCATCATGCATTTTCAGATAATAAAACTTTTTTATTGTGTCTCGAGGGTTGAAAACAGCAGGTGTGAATCATCATGTGGGATGTTCCACTTGACTGGCCTTAGTGAGAATCTCTCTATATTATATTTGTGAAAGTTCGTCACTTAAGCCGGCTAAAACTTCCGAACCACTTATCTTTCGAATTTGAAAAAAATAATGGCGGTTTAGCCTCATTCAAAGGGTGCACAGTTGTACTGAGGAGCCTGAAGTCACTGTAGTTTAATTTTCAGCTTTTCATTAGTTTCCTATAGGTCTAATATTGGGAAAGTCCGTCTTGTAAGACGCTATTGTAAACAAGTGAGGCTTCCGTTCTCATGGAGTGCCCACACTGATCCCTCAATGACTTGACAATCAATTCTTTTGAGTCCGTTCATCGAACGGGAAACCCAGCTAGTGTATTATACTTAAGGCTAAACTTGGCTGGGGGAGATGTTAAAAATGCAAAAGGTCCTCTCTTTTCTCAATTCAAACAGTTGAGAATAAAAAAAGTTTTTAGTGGACTTCATCAAGGATAATTCAATTCATCTGGGACTGAGGTCAACATTGCTGTTTCAAGTTTGGTTTCCATGTTTTTGTAGGGGATTTTGTTTTGGGTAAATCTATGAGGAAACGAGTGAGAAAATCTTTTAGTATAACGGGATGATCAAAGTTCAAACCGTGGGTGGTTGGCGGGTGCTCTGGTGTGGTTTGCTCCTTCTTTCCTATCAAACAACTATCGTCTTTATCTCCCCTCCTTCTTTTTTGTTTGTTACTCTCTTGTAACACCTCTAATCTTCGGCACTTATATGACCTTCTTGTGTTGCAAGTGCCGTAAAATTCTTACTAAAACTAAAAGCTCAAACTTGTGTACTGAGATGACTAAAATTCAAGAAAGTTTCTCTTTGAACGAATAGTTCTTTTTTTTAACGAAGGTTTTTTCAGAAACTGTTTATGAGTGACGGCAAAGGCCAGTCCAAGGACTTTTAATAAATATTTTTTTTTACTGAAAACTTTTCCAGAAACTGTTGACGAGCGAGGGCAAAGGCCAGTCCAAGGACTCGGAGGACTGCCCGCCGTCGTACACGGAGGCCGTACAGTCACACCTGACCTCCCACCACCACCGCAGCAGCGCTGGCGGAGGCAGCAACAGCCGCAGCCGACACCGCACGCCCCCCAGTGCGTCTGCCGCCGCCAGCAACGGCCACCTGTCGCGGCCCGCGCTGGGCACCATGCAGCATCTGCTCGACCTGGGTCCCGACACGGCCCCGAGCGCCTCGCTGGCCGCCGTCGGCCCGCCTGCCGCGCCGCAGTCGGCTGCCAACTCCGCCAAAGGTCACCACTCCGGCCACCACCACTCCAGCCACCACCACCACCACCACAATACTCACCACCACCACGTCTCCCGATCTTCCAACCACCACCGGCGGCGCGCGGAGTTCTCGGAGAGCTCCCCGCACAAGGTGCGGCCGGGCAGGAACTTGCTGGCGTCTGCGTCCGGCAGCCAGCACGAAGCCTTGCCAGAGGATATGTCCTTCAAGCCCCAGAGGAAAGGCTCGGTGGACAGTAACAATTTCAGTTTGGACGGGAGCGGCGAGAAAAGCTCGCACCGCTGGAGATCTACGTACAGACAGGTAACAATGTTTCTGTTTCCCCTGTCTTTCTATCTCTTTTTCCTATTTATTTACGCATCTATTTTTACCTCTGCCTAATGTCTCTTTTCCTATTTGCCCGATCTATTTTTTCCCTCCGCCCTTCTCTTTTCCCTGTTTTCTTCCCATCTCTTTTCCCCTTTTCCCATGTATTTTTCCCTCTGCCCATCTCTTTTTCCCTTTTCCCCATCTATTTTTCACCCTCTTCTCATCTCTTTTCCCCTTTCCCCATCTATTTTTCTCCCTCTTCCTATCTCTTTTCCCCTTTTCCCCATCTATTTTTCACCCTCTTCTCATCTCTTTTCCGCTTTCCCCATCTACTTTTCTCCTTCTTCCTATCTCTTTTCCCCTTTTCCTATCTATTTTTCCCTCTGCTCATCTCTTCTTTTCTCCTTTTCCCCATCTTTTTTCCCCTCTGTCTGTCCCTTTTCCCCTCTGCCCATCGCTCTGTTCCATGTCTTGTTTGGCTCTGTTATCGCTCTGTTCCATGTCTTGTTTGGCTCTGTTATCGCTCTGTTCCATGTCTTGTTTGGCTCAGTTATCGCTCTGTTCCATGTCTTGTTTGGCTCTGTTTTTGTCTATCCTGTGTGTGTATAGCTTTCTTACATGCTCATCACAAATGGACCAGAGGATATATACAAGCAGTCCCGTTTCCTAATGACTGAATATATGTGCATCTTGTCTTTCTTCACACTTTTATGTATTATAATGCAGTTTGAAATATCTAGCTCTCATAACGAACGAGTCCAGAGGATGATTGAGAGAATATGACAAACGTTCTGATTGAGAGAATATGACAAACGTTCTGATTGAGAGATTATGTGGCACAATGCGGTGGAAGGAATCAGGCTCTCGTAAATTATTGGGCATACGGGGTTGATGGTATCAACTTAAGGCCTGTCCATTTTCATTGCTTTGGGTGAAAATTAACATCCATCTATGTGGAATAGAAGTCGAGATATGAGTGATTGAAGGAGGTGAGGATCGTCTGGCTTTAAAGGTAAAATTATCGGGAAAATGGCAGCGAAAGTTGAGTTATTTTCTTAGCTTGAGAGTCCGTGGAAACTGAAAATTTACATTTCTTCTGCCTCTAATCAATGTTTTTCTGTAAAATCCACACAGAAATTTGCTCTTTAATGTCCATGAAATGTGTTGAACTAAAAACAAAACTTCGATAAAAATTACCGAACCTGCGGGAAAATGCCAATTTCTTGACTTTCATTATTTTGACGAGCGCCTGATTTCACCACGCTGCCTCACATATGACCATCCATGTGATTGAGAGAATATGACCATCTATGTAATTGAGAGAATATTATGACAATCTATCTGATTAGAGAATATGTTACCATCTTTCGGACCGACAGAATATGACCATTTGTGTGACCGGTTTGTATCATTGCGTGTCCTCAGCAAAGCTCCGGTGGAAAGAGGCCAGCGTTTAGAAACTGGAACCCGCCCATGCTGGGCACTTTACCCGACGACTTTTTGCGAATCAGCCCATCCCTGTCCAGCTCTGGCCCTGCCCGCTACGGTGGAAAACACGGCCCTCATTTGCACAGGTGTGTACGTCGCTTGGGGTTTCTATGTTTTTATTACCACCTTCTTTGTGTGTAGTATGTTAGAGAGTACTTTTATTTTGTAGATTTACCCCATAGGTGACTACAGGTGCTCAGCTGTGCTTTGCTCCTTCCTTCCTATCAAAAATATCTAGTTCTTATCTCTTCTCCTTTTTTTTCTTTCTCTTGTAACACCTCAAATCTTCAGCTCTAATATTACCTTATTGTGTTGCAAGGGTCGTTAATCTCTTACTAAAGGTATACTTAAATACCCTCCCCGCCCCCGCCCATCTCAAAGATCTGTTAACTTAACAAAAATGTTTTCTGAACTTTTCTAAATGCGAAAGTTGCACGTCAGTGATAGTTGCAGAAACAATTTTGCAAGGGTTGGTTCTTGTTTTGGGCAACTGTTGTACTTTTTTCTGTCTTGTCTTGTCTTTATTCCTGACCATGAGTGTCTTCCACAGTGTCCTTTGTGGAAGTCTTGGAATAAACTAATTAACCCTATCCGTACATCGTGTTTTACTATCATATCCATATGACATGGGGAACTCTGTGCCACCACTTTACCCTATCCGTACATCGTGTTTTACTATCATATCCATCGACGTGGGGAACTCTGTGCCACCACTTTCAAAGAGGAAATTTACTCGTTAGTCCGATCCATACGCTTCGCTTAGCAGTCTGTCAAAATGATTTTTTGAGAAATACTGAAAGTTTCAAAGAGATCTTCGTACTAGAAGTATTCTAAAATGTGAAGAATACAACCCCGGGGGTATGTAACAAAATGGCCCCAGGGTGTATGGATAGGGTTAATGAACTCTTTTTTTTTCCTGCTCAGAGCAATGTCTGCGGTCGGGCCAGAGCGGCCCCAGTTCTACCCTCTCTCATCGTCGCCGACGTCAGCGATTGGTCAGGGGTCCAGCACCGTGCCTCATAGTCAGTCCACGCGGCACCGGTCGTCCACCCACAAGCCGCACCGGTCGCTCTCCTTCGCCGGACACACCGGTCAGCAGGGTCTGCCCAAGAGATCACAGACCTTGCACCCTTCGGTGAGTTTGCTTACTTTTGGCACGCACACGTACGTGTCTACGCACACACACTCTTACGCATGCTCACAGACGGGTGAAATTTGTAGATTTTCTATTGATGCCATATTCTTTAACTATAACCTGTCTTTTATTATTTCATACTTATAAATTGTAAAAACTTTACCTATAAGCGTGATGTATCTATTTTCTAAAGACTTGAATCCGAGATGTAACTCATTTTGTCTACACGCTTCACATTATGTTTCGTTCTTGCGGTCTAGGGTTTGGCCCAGCACGAGTTTAGCTCCGACATCCTACAGGAGAGGTTCAAGGAGAACGAGCGGCGGCGCCGCATGACCTCTGGCGACCTTGACCCCGACCTGGCGCAGTACCTGGAGGACGAGCGCCTGGCCATCATGCTGCAGAACAGCGAGTTTTTACAGGAGCTGCGGGGCGACCGCATGTTTATGATGACCTTGGAAAGAGGTAGGAGATGGCTTGTCATGTTTTCCACAGGCTTTTTTTTTTCTTTTTCTTTTTTTTTCTTTCTAGTTCAACACTTTGAAGAAGAAAATTGGAATGTGGAACACTAAAAGCTTTGCATTGTTTGTTTATATTTGTTTTAGTTCTAGGCTTTCTAGGCTATCAAGGCACCCCGGAAATAGGGGGTCACAAGAGTGTGACAAGCATACAAAAGAAGGACAGGAAACATGACGATAGTAAGAAAAAGCAGTAGTTCCCAGTACCACCCCCCTCCCCCCTCCCGCGCTCGCACTTTAAGGATACTAACACAATTTGTGATAATATTGATTATGAAAATAAAAAATCAAATTCTATAGCGTCCACCTCTGGTACTTCACAATAAAATATGATTGGGGGTGGTTGGCGGGTGCTCTGGTGTGGTTTGCTTCTTCTCTCCTATCAAACATCCATTGTCCTTTTCTCCCCTCCTTTTTTTGTGTTTGTCACTCCCTTGTAACTCCTCGAATCTTTGGCACTGATAAGAGTGATATGACCTTATTGTGTTGCAAGTGCTGTAAAACACTTACTAACCCTAAAAAGAGAAGCAGGCAATCAAAATGTTTTGAGTTTAGCAAGTGATATTTTCTCTCCTTTCATTACCTAATTTATTTGGTTCTTCTACGTCGTTTCAGATCAGCGAAGTGTGGAAACGGAGAAGACTAAGCCGGACCCTCCTCCTGCAGAACCAGAACCTGTCTCGGCGCCGTTCAGCCCTGACGAAAATATTGACAATTTCATAGGTATTTACTGTGATGATGTGCGTTGTACTCTATTGTAAAGCACTCAGATCCCCCCGGAGCAGTGCCACTGACTGTAGTGTCTTTAGGCCATTCCCAAAGGGGGGACATTTCTCGTTCAAGCATAGTAGAATTGTAAATGGGCTGATTCATGTCACGCTCATAACTGTGCCTGATCTACAACAGGGAACTGCTGCTTTTTCTTTCCTAATCCTTACTATTGTCATTTTCCTCTACTTCTTTTGTATGTTTGTCACTCTCTTGTGACCCGCTATTTCCGGGGTGCCTTGATAGTCGAAGCAGACTTTGTGCCTTTGAAGCTAGAGAGGAGAGCAGAGTAAGTCTGATTCCCTGTAAAGACTTCTCTGTTGACATCCACCCCTTGGCGCTCATATGACCTTATGCAGATGCGAGTGCCATAAAGCCCTCTATTTATTTTTTTAAAAAGCACTCAGAGCCTGTTTACTTTAATCGGTGTTGAGTGATATATAAATGTCATTTATTATTATTATTACTATTATTATGATGTGAAAGAATTGCAACTGGAATGTTATTTACGTGGATGTGTTTTCTGGCAATGGCTCACAGAATCCTACAGTTCTTTTTTTTTTTTTTTTTTTTGCTGTCGATTTTTTTTTCTATATGTGAGGCATCGTGGTGAAATCAGGCGCTCGTCAAAATAATGAAATCGAAGCAACTGGCATTTTTCTGTCGTTTGACAATTTTTATCGAATTTTTGTTTTGTGACTCAGCACCTTTAAGGTCCATTTAAAACCACATTTCTGTTTGGATTTTACTGAAAAATATTGATTTAAGACACAGAAATGTTAATTTGCAGTTTGTAAGTACTCTCAAGCTTAGAAAGTCGCCAATCACAAATATCTCGACTTCTATTCATGATAGATGAGTACTCTTTTGACTGAAATCAAGGCAAATGAACAAGCTTTAATTAAGATGATACCAATTACTCCACATGTCCAAAAATTGACGAGCGTGTCTTGACATATTTACTGTGATGATGTGGAATGTTATTTACGTGGATGTTTTCTGGCCACGGCTCACAGAGTCCTACAATTCTTTTTTTTTTTTTCTGTCGATTTCTTTATCTATATTATGGGCATTTATTCTATGGCTTGCTAAATGGTTGCTTTTGAGGACAAGCGGGCCGACCCAGATTTCAGGGGTTTCCAGAAATCTTGACCTACACCAAAAGTGGGCATTATAGGAGAAGTTTGGTTTCATTGGTGTGTATATTTGTTTTGGTTATAAAGAAAATTCACCTTGTCTTTTAAAGAGACTGAATAAGGATCCAAAAACTTGTAAGTTCGATTTTCTTCGAATTTCCAGAAACAGCATTTATCTTATACTTTTTTAGCTAAGAATCTTACACTTTTTGTGGCCAGTGGGGTTGGCAGCTCTGTCATAGCGGTTATTGTGGGTTGATTGCAAGATGGAAGTCTGAAGTGTGTGGAATGATTGTGCGATTCCTTTATATTCTTCACAGAGGGCTATGGCGATGATCGGCAAGACACTCTCGAGGCTTTCCCGTTCAGCCAACAGTTACCTCCCCCTGTCAACGAGGACGTGGAGTTGAGGAAAAAGTTGAAAAATATGAGCAGAGGTTGGTCTTGTGAATGTTTGTTTCTGCATTGTCACTTCTTTACCTTAGAGGTACAAAGTTCTATCTTGACATTTTTGGCCGTTTTTGAGTCACTAAGACCTTGAGGTCAGAAACCAAAGTAAATGTTCTATCTGATCTATCAAAATCGTAAGATTATATGGTCGCTTTTAAGGACAAGCAGGCTAACCCAGATTTCGGGGGTTTCCAGAAATCTTGACCTTCTTCAAAAGTGGGCATTGCCCTACCTATAGGAGAAGTTTGGTTTCTTTGATGTGTATCTATTTGTTTGGTTATAGAGAAAACTCCCCTTGTCTTTTAAAAAGACTGAATAAGGATCCAAAAACTTTAAAACTTCGATTTTCTCAAAACAACATTTTTCGTGATAGCCCCCTTGTGCTTAAAAGCGACCATATGGAGTTGTTATCAAGATATTCAAAGAATTACGTTGGTAAAAGCTTGACGTGGTGTGAAACGCAAAATCTTTGATGTCAAATTTCTCAAAACTAGGTACTGAGCAGATAGAACTTTGTATGTGTTTCTGAGGTAGCGATAATTTGTAAACACATTGGGAATTTTTCAAACTGGAAAGACTGTGTACACTCTGACATTGATCGCGTAAAGCGTAAATGGAAATTCTACGTGGACAAAAAATATCTAGAAGTATGGTCCATTTCTTTCTGTTAGGAAAAAATTTTGATCATTTGTCTGTGCCTCTGAGTAACGTCGACAACAGTAGGTTTCTTTTTTATAATAATGTGAGGCGTGCTGACAAAATGAGTTGCTTCTCGCAATCCACAAATGGAGATATTGGCCAAAAATCGACACAGGGGTCAAATTAGTAGAATTTCTATTGATGCCAATTCTTAAACTATAACATTCCTTTTATTATTTCATACTTATAAATTGTAAAAGCTTCACCTATAAGGATGATATTCTGTTTCCATCAGGCTTGAATGGGAGAAGTAACTCATTTTGTCAGCACACTTCATATAATATGTAGTCAAACTGGAAAGATTTGTGTATACACTGACCTCATTCAGAGTACTAGAAATTCAGGATAGTTATTAAGTATTCTGTCAGCATGATGATTTCAGTTTTCTTTCTGGTAAAACATTTGGTAAGTTTGGGGTTTTTGAATAATGCCTCCGTGCAGCATTGTCAAATGTAGGTTTTTGTTTTGCTTTTGAGTTGTCAGTTTTTTGTGCCTTTATTTAAAATGTACTTTTTATTTTTTATGTGGTCTTTGACTGGAGACGGTCTTTGACTGGAGACGGTCTTTGACTGGAGGCGGTCTTTGACTGGAGACGGTCTTTGACTGGAGGCGGTCTTTGACTGGAGGCGGTCTTTGACTGGAGGCGGTCTTTGACTGGAGCCGGTCTTTGACTGGAGCCGGTCTTTGACTGGAGACGGTCTTTGACTGGAGGCGGTCTTTGACTGGAGGCGGTCTTTGACTGGAGGCGGACTCTTATGAAATCATCATGTTTTAATCTTTAGTGCGATTTATTCTCTGTGTTGAGACCTAATCATGGCTATTGTGTCTTATTCTGTGGTGTTGTTGGCTCACAGACGTTTTTGCTCATAACTGTGCCTGATCTACAACAGGGAACTGCTGCTTTTTCTTTCCTAATCCTTACTATTGTCATTTTTCCTCTACTTCTTTTTTTATGTTTATCACACTCTTGTGACCCGCTATTTCCGGGGTACCTTGATAGTCGAAGCAGACTTTGTGCTGTTGAAGCTAGAGAGGTGAGCAGAGTAAGCCTGATTCCCTGTAAGGACTTCTCTGTTGACATCCACCCCTTGGCGCTCATATGACCTTATGCAGTTGCGAGCGCCGTAGAACCTCTACTATAAAACTAAAACTTCTCCACTTGTGTTTCAGCGTCGAGGAAGCAGTTTGCCGCTCTGGCCAGGAGGTTCTTCCTCAAGAGGAAGAAGAAAACGGCTCAGCAAATGTATCCTTTGGGGTAGTCGGTTTTCTGTTTGGCTAGTGTTCCGACAGGCCTATCCTTCATAACCCTTTTTGTGTTATTTTTGTTATAGTTGTTCTGTGCCTACGTCTGAATGAAAATTGTCTGTGTGTGTGTGTGTGTGTGTGTGTGTGTGTCTGTGTGTGTGTGTGTTGCATGAGAAGAAAGGAAGTAGTACGAAAGGTTTTGATAATGGGTATGAAAGGAAGTAGTACGAAAGGTTTTGATAATGGGTATTCCAATATTATTTTTTGAAATACGCTATGTAAATGTTATATATTATAATATTATTATTATTATTAATGTTCTGATTACTCTGGTGTAAATTAAGTTAGTTCTAAGTGGGTGGTTGGTGGGTACTCTGGTGTGGTTTGCTCCTTCTTTCTTATCAAACATCTATTGTCCTGATCTCTCCTCCTTCTTTTTTTGTATTTGATACTCTCTTGTAACACCTCTAATCTTCAGCACTTATGTGACCTTATTGTGTTGAAAGTGCCGTAAAACTCTAACTAAAACATAAACTTAAAGAATAAAGTTCTGCTGTGTGTATACTAGTGCTGTGAGAAAAAATAAAACAAAGTAAATCTGTCTTTTCCTATATAAGTTAATACTTGGTACAAGAGTTTAAAGTCCGATTCCCTGTAAGGACTTCTCTGTTGACATCCACCCCTTGGCGCTCATATGACCTTATGCAGTTGCGAGTGCCGTAAAACCTCTACTAAAGCAAACGACAAAGTCAGTGTGACGATTCCTTGACCACGCCACAGCCTGAAGGAGTCTCAAGCTCCGTCCATGGCTAATCTTTTGGACGAGGATGACGAGAACGACGATGTGGAGGAAACGACCAATGGCTACGATGGTGCAGACGCGAGTGGTGTGTCGGAGTCTTACGATTCCTCACGGCACAACTAGGCGCAATGTTTGGAGGTAGGCCCGTATACTTTTTACAATTTGGTGGGTGGTTGGCGGGTGCTCTGGTGTGGTTTGCTCCTTCTCTCCTATCAAACCTCTATCGTCTTTATCACCCCATCTTCTTTATTGCGTTTGTCACTCTCTTGTAACACCTCTATTCTTCAGCACTTATGTGACCTTATTGTGTGCCGTAAGACACTTACTACTAAAACAAAAACTTAAAAAGTTTTGTTACTACCAATCCAAATTATGCTTGTTTGTGTGAATGATGCTATACATTTGTGTGCAAAAAAAAATAAAAATGGACGCTGTCTCATAATTGTCAACAAGATAGACAGTTTATAGGAAAATTATTTTGATGAATAAAATGGAATGAATAAGGTTGTTTTTTTTTAAACTCAGAAAATTTGATGTTATATAAGGAGTTAAGAAGTTCTTTCTTGGAGGAAGTTGAAAATGGTCATAGAGGACAGACATCTAAATTGCTGAAGCTAGATTTCAGACTGGTCAAAATGAATGAATGCTCAAATATTTTGACAATGTTGCATTGTGTTTGGAAGTTCAAAATAAAGGTGTGAAATGTACTAAAAGAAAATTTAACTGGTACATAACAAGCGAGTTTTTGTACGTTTTAAAAAGTATAAAATGAATGCTTAAAAACCCATAGTTATAGAATTGTTATGATTTCAGCATGAATTTGACCCAAAAAATGTTCTGTTTTTTGTTTTTGTTTTTTAGATTTATGCATGTCGTAGCGATACTGAGCTTTAGAGCTTTTGTGGTGTGTGTGTGTGGGTTTTTTTTGTAAGCGCCACCGAGCTCTTTTTGTGCATTCTACCGCATTATAAATTCATTTATTATTATTATTATTATTATTATTATTATTTCAGCTGATTTGACTGGTGCAACAGCCCAAAGTGCACAGACGGTGAAGAGAAGACATTTGCAGCGGGGAAGAAGTCTCTCATGGCAAATGTAAAGTCGGGGTTTTGAGGCTCTCCTGTCCTGTATGCTGGAGTCTGTCGGAGCCGAGGCCCGGGTGTTTGTGTGTGTGTGTGTGCGTGTGTGAAGACCTGTGTGGTTACCTGTGTCTGTGTGTGTGTGTGTGTGTGTGTATGTGTGGGTGTTTGTGTGCAGACCTGTGTGGTTATGTGTGTGTGTATGTGTGGGTGTGTGTGTGCAGACCTGTGTGGTTATGTGTGTGGGTGTGTGTGGGCAGACTTGTGTGAAATGGCAAGAAAACAGCAATAGAAATGCTGGGGCATGTGAGTAATGGTGGCTATTAATTAATTAATAATGTTTGCTGTCTTGTCTTTTTTGCTCGGGAGAAATGCTCTTTGAATAAGGTCCAGAGGAGGAGGAAAAGATCACAGTATGAACTTTTTTTGGTGTTTTTTTTTTACTGTTTTTATCTATTGATATGAAATTGTGAATGCCCATGCTGCTTACTGCCACCCCATGTTGCTAACGTCGTATTTGAAACGACAAAACGGTTATTTTAAGGCCAGCCTGTGTATTGTATTGTGTATTCTGTTGATGGTCATTGAGATGTGAAATGCTACCGTTTGTGGCATAGAAGGTACTTCACAGCAGGATCGGGTTGACTGCGTTTCTTTCCTGAAAAATTTCTTAGTTTGAATTCTTTTCCTATTTATTTTTTTAAAAATTTGGCACGATTGCTCAACACAAGGTGAGGTTTTAAACAAAAAAAAAATGTAAGTGTTTTACACCCTTATTGACTCAGTTTAGGTCATTAGGAGCAGGCTTTGATCCTCCTTGTTATCAGCGCCAACCTCGAGTGGGGAAGGATACAACCTGCCAGTAGAAAGACGGAGGTACTCGATAAAAATTCGTCCTACTTTGGAATGGAACTCAGGTGTCTCGTGCGTGCGGTAACGAAGCATCTAACTGCTACAGCACAGACGTCAGTGAGTGTAGCGTAAGCTGTTGTCGTTGGGCAATTTATTCTGAGTATATTTAGCGAGCTGTTTAGCTGAGGTGTGTTGGACTCCTGTGTAAAATCTCAGACCAGCAGAGCCGCTCACAGGATATGATATAGAGTCAGTGGCTGGTTTGAAAATGCGTCGAAGCACGTCTCTTTCCTTTTGCAGAAAGATTTGACCATTTTTTAAAACCCTTGTAAACCTCCACCACCACCACCACCTATTTCACATACCCCCCTGGGGCGGTGCTACTGACTGAAGTTAATTTAGGCCTTTCCCAAAGCGGGGACATTAACCTGTTCTTATGCACAGTAGAATTGTAAATGGACTGATTCATCAATGTCATGATCATAACTGTGCCTGAATTGCAACAGGGAACTGCTGCTTTTTCTTTCCGCATCCTTACTATCGTCATTTTTCCTCTACTTCTTTTGTATGTTTGTCACTCCCTTGTGACCCGCTATTTCCGGGGTGCCTTGACAGGCAAAGCTGACTTTGTGCTGTTGAAGCTAGAGAGATGAGCAGAGTAAGTCTGATTCCCTGTAAGGACTTCTCTGTCGACATCCACGCCTTGGCGCTCATATGACCTTGTGCAGTTGCGAGCGCCGTAAAACCTCTACTGAAACAAAAGAAATGACTCCTGGCTGCCCCTTTATATTTAGACTTGATGGACATGATTATTATTATGTTTTTTTTTCTGGTTCTGCCTCTTCCTCTACTACACCCTAAACTGTATGGAAAGTGGGTGCTCTGGTGTAGTTTGCTTCTTCTTTCCTATCAAACAACTATCGTCTTTATCTCTCCTCCTCCTTTTTTGTGTTTGTTACTCTCTTGTAACACCTCTAATCTTCAACACTTATATGACCTTATTGTGTTGCAAGTGCTGTAAAACTCGTACTAAAACTAAAATTGTATTGAAAAGGCTTCTTGTACTACTACACTACACCCTAAACTGTATGGAAAAGGGTGTAATACTGAAAAAAACCCAAGCTCCGTATGTGGAGTTCTCTGTGTTCTGGCTAACGCAGCACTTGGACATGGATGGCTGGTGCCTCTTTAATAAATAAATCGTTGATGGTCCTCTGTGTTCTGTGCGCGTGTGGAGGGGAGGGCGTGCCGTGCCTCTATAAACAAATAGTTGATGGTTCTCCGTGTTCTGTGCACGTGTGGAAGGGATGGCGTGCCGTGCCTCTATAAATAAATCGTTGATGGTTCTCTGTGTTCTGTGTGCATGGAGAGGAGGGCGTGCGGTTACTCTATAAATAAATCGTTGATGGTCCTCCGCGTTCTGTGTGCGTGGAGGGGAGGGCATGCCGTACCTCTATAAATAAATAAATCGTTGATGGTTCTCTGTGTTCTGTGCGCGTGTGGAGGGGAGGGCGTGCCGTGACTACCTTACTGTTTTCTTGTTGACTCCCAGGTGATGATATTTCTGGAAGGTGATTTTTCCTGTTTTACCTCAGTCAAAGCCCGCGTTGACGACTTGGCCGTATTACTGTATATTGGATGACCACTTAAGCTGTATATTAGATGGCTCTTATTTATTTTACACCTCTACGACGTGCGCTTTTGTTTTTTTTTATTTTGATAATAATTATTGCTGTAAAAATAGCGTACTCTTGTTTTCGTAATTAATTGTTTCAACTACTTTGCTACGATCAAATTTTGTTGTTTAAACTTTTTTTGTGTGGTTATTTATGTATATTTGATTACATTCTTTTTAACACGATTTATTTTTATCGCGGTGGGTGACAGAGTATTGTCTTACCCCGCCCTAAAGCCGATAATATCGATATGGAAAATTTTGCTCTCATGGCTGAAAACTCTACTTTTGTGAGAAGCAGACTATAGCATATAGCCTAATTGGAAGGGTAACCATTTTTCGAGGCGAAGACCTCTTTGAAAATTTCGGTATTTCTAAAAAAATCATTTTGACAGACTGCTATGCAAAGCGTACAGATTGGATCAACGAGTAAATTTCCTCTTTGGAAAGTGGTGGCACAGAGTTCCCCACGTCGTATGGATACGATAGTAAATTACGACGTACGGATAGGGTTAAGTGGTGGCACAGAGTTCCCCACGTCGTATGGGTACAATGGTAAATTACGACGTACAAGTGGGCTAGGGTTAAAAGCGCTGTACTGTATGTGCAGTTTTTACTGTTTTACAGGGAAGACAAAAATGAACAAACCCCGAGGTGAATGCTGTTACCTAGAAAACAGACTTTTTGCAAACATCCCAAGTGCAGTATTTTTAAGAATACAATTTTGCTTTGTAACTTCCTTACCATCTTTATTAAAGCAAATTTTAATGTTTTCTTGGTAATGACATTCAGTATTTTAGCTATGCGGTAAACCTGTAAAAACTACATGTATACTTTATTTTTAGAAATGATGGCAGAGTGTGCTGTTCGTCTTGCCGGCCTGTATAGTTGTGGAACCGCAATACATGTCATTTGTTTCTTGTTTTTTTTTAAACATTCTTTTTATAAAATTTTTGTTTTGTTATCATGCTTCCGGTGATGAAAATTTCTTAACAAAGCAACCTTGTTCAGGGTAGATTGTGTGGGTGGTTGGCGGGTGCTCTTGTGTGGTTTGCTTCTTCTTTCCTATCAAACATCTATTGTCTTTGTCTCCCGTCCGTCTTTTTTGTGTTTGTTACTCCCTTGTAACACCTCTTATCTTCAGCACTTATATGACATTATTGTGTTGCTAGTGCCGTAAAACTTTTACTAAAACAACTTACAAGGGTAGATTTTCCTGGCCACAGATTGGATCGTTGAAAGTTTCCCTTGCCGGGTAAGAGTAAGAGAGTTGGCTCTGTGGAAGTCTGTTGCTGGCTGAGTTCACGACCTCCACGCTTTCTTGTCCTATCTCCATTTTTAATAACAGCAAAAACAGTTCATAACAAAGAGGGAGCTACAGAAGAAGAAGTTACATTTTCATTGTTTAAAAAAAAAAATGGAAATACGACAAGAAAGCCCTGAGGTCGCGAGTTAATGTGTGTGGGGTTTTTTTTGGTGGGTTTTTTTGTCGCCGGCCAGATTCCTCCGACCTATGGTGGCAGTAGTGTGAAAAGTTGTAGTTGTAGTGTAGTAGGTGCGTGTCAGGAGAGGGAGAAGTCAATATTGGTGCTGCCTCTTGGCGATATGATGGATTTTAGAAATTAGATAGATATTTTATTCTCTTTATAAGAGATATTTAATTCACTCTCTAATGAGAAGAATCAACAGTTTGTGGTCAGCTGTTTTGTGTCAGGTTCTTTCTTGTAGTGAGAGGTCGTCAGTGGTACCTCTGCTAGTGGTGAGACATTTACTTTTACTTCCTTGTACTACTATGGAAGTAAACGCGAGGCATCGTGGTGGAATCAGGCTCTCGTCAATATTTGGGCATGTAGAGTTATGGGTATCATCTTAAAGCTTGTTCACTTGCCTTTATTGGGATGAAAACAATATCAATTTATCTTGAATACAAGTCGAGATATTTGCAAATGAAGGAGGTGGCGGTCACCTGTTTTTTCAGAGGTAAAATTAGTGAGAAAATGGCCGCGAAAGATTAGTTATTTCCTTAGCTTAAGAGTCCGTGGTAACTGAAAATTTACATTTTTTTGTGCCTTTAATCAATGTTTTTCAGGAAAATCCACACAGAAATGAGTTCTTTAATGTGCATGAAAGGTGTTGAGCGAAAAAACAAAAATTTGATAAAAATTCACAAACCTGCGGAAAAATGCAAGTTTCTTCACTTTGATTATTTTGACGAGAGCCTGATTCCACCAAGCTGCCTCACATATGGCTTTCTTTTTTTTTGGCTTTTGTTTTGTAAAATTTGGAATGCAATAAAATACTCAGTTTTTCTGTAATGTTGAAGCAATATTTTATTATGTGCAAAAGTGAGAGAATTGTAGCCGCGGTTTTACGTTTAAGTTGTCAGAATAATGAATTTGCCGAGGAATGTAAAGTAGGTGGGTGGTTGGCGGGTGCTCTGATGTAGTTTGCTTCTTCTTTCAATTTATGGTTGGCGGGTGCTCTGATGTAGTTTGCTTCTTCTTTCAACTTATAAAAAATCTATCATCTCTATCTCCCCTCCTTCTTTTTTGTGTTTGTTACTCTCTTGTAATACCTCTAATCTTCGGCACTTATATGACCTTATTGTGTTGCAAGTGCCG